GTATGGAAGGAGCTGGGAGGGAGGGGAGGTGGCATCTGATCACGACGCTTCAAATCCCCCTGAAGACGGATGGTATCATGGACAACGAGGGTTGAAGGGAGCTCAGGGGGTCACATCTAGTCCAACCCCTGCTCCAAGCAGGGCCAGCCCCAACTACATCATCCCAGACAATGTTTTGGCTTAAAAAACCCCAAGGATGGAGACTCCACCACCTCTCTGGAGAGCCTGTGCTCCATCCTCCTCCTAGTGAGAAAGTTGTTGCTAATATCCAACCTCAACTTCCCTTGCTGCAGCTTGAGCCCATTGCTCCTTGTCCTGCCATCTGCCCCCACTGAGACCAGATGTGGTGAGGATGAGATTGTGGGATTTTGAAGCTCTTTAGCTCCCTTTGCAAGTACCAAGGGTCCCACATGTGGTGAAAGCTGTCCCTTTCTCCATTTACAAAAGAAAAACACCCCACTTGATGGGGGCTCAGCTGTTTGCTAGATGGGAGGGAGTTTCCCCAGCTTAGACTAAGTGAAGAGAAGCCTTTGGAGGCCTCAGATCTCCTTGTTGGTATTTCCAATCCAGTTGGACATGCCGTGGCCATAGGAATTGTTTGGGTTTTTACTATTGCATCTGCTCATGCATATTTGCCATCCTGGGCTGTGTCAGATTGCAAAACTCTGCTCCCGAGCCATGACGTGGGAGATGCACGGGATCGGTGGCAGGCAGAGTTTGGATGGTCTAAATCCACCGTTGCAGATTTGCTGAGGGAGCACTTTGCAAACCGAGCTGGGGGAAAAGCAAGGGAAATAAATGACAAGCAATGGATCGGCTTAGGCGTGCTCAACCAAAAAGCTTCATGGTGACACGGGTAGCTGCCAACAGGGAGAGGGGAAAAAGAGGGGACAAAGCGTGAACGCACTGTTGCATTTTTGTGGGGTTGTTACCAAGGTAGAATTGAACGCAGTTCTGTTTGCAAAACCTAAGCGGGGCTGACAGCTGCTCTCGGAGGAGAGGCAGACATTTCCGCCCTCGATTTTTTTCCTTTGGCCGAGTCAAGCCATTGTGCCTCAGTTTCCCCACCCATGAAATGGGGGTAATGATACTTTCCTACCTTATGGGCATGGCGAAGCTGAGTTTACAGGGATTAATACAGTGCATGGAAGGTGACACACGTCCTCACTCCGATGTCCCGGAAAAGTCAGATTTTTTTACAAAACTCAGCGATGCATTTGGTTTTTAAATAATTCTTTTATTTTAAATATTTCCCTGCCAAATAGCTGGAGGAGGGGAACATGCTGCCTACTTTCACACACCCCCTTAGAGACCGGTCCATATAGAGGAAAACAGGCTACTTTCGGGAGCAGTGGCTGGGCTCTTTGTCTAGTGTTAGCAGCAGGAGCTTGCTTCTCAGCTCCCAGATCCGACCGGCGTTCAATCACACGCTTCACTTTAAGCTTGGATATATGCACCCTTTCTGACTCAGGGTCTGGGGCTTGAAAGTGCCAGGATTGAACCCACTATCGACCCACGTTCGGGGGGTTTTACCCAACCAGCGCAGCGCGGAGGGTATACATTTGGCTTGGATTTGCTTGTGTGAAAAGCACCATAAAATCCTTAGCAAAAAAAAAAAAATAGCACTGGCTTTTACCTAGAACAGGTACAACACGTGCCAACGGGTGTGTGGCTGGGAGATTTTTCAGCTTCTCTCCCAGATATCGCTCACAATCACATGTCAGCTGGTAAGGACCAAAAACTTAGAGCATTTCCAATTTTGAAATCCAGTTTTGGCTTTAAAAAAATCCTTTTTCCATTAGACATAAAGCCAATAGTTTTACTGGACCATGTTTGGTTTTGGGTTGTACCGTAAACTGCAAAACTGGAATATTTCACCCAGGAGAAGGTGCATTTGGCTTGAAAAGCCTTTTTTTGATGGTTAGAAATGTGGGGCACGTCTACACATGCACTTTAATGCACATTAGCCGATTTGCATGCGCATTAATTAAGTAGCGTGGGGTTTTTTGGTGACGCTTTAATGTGCATTCAAATAGACTACTGTGCATTAAGCATCACTTTAAAACCATGTTCTTTAGTTAATGCGCATTAAGATAGACCAATGCAGATTTTCTTGGTACTTCACAATAGAGGTACTAGATTTAATGTGCATTAACTAAAGCATGTTAATGCATGTGTAGATGCACCCATATTGACCAGCTTTGCTTCGAAGACCTCGGTGGCCCGGCTCTATACTAATCTGGCAGGTCCTTTGCTCTGTCCTCGTAGGATGGTAAGAAATGACTACCCTGCTCTGGGAAGGGATGGTCCCCGGTAGCTTCATTATCTCCTGGAAAAGAGGCCTTTCTAGTGGGAGAGGCCCAGCTAGGACCCTAAATTGCAATATTCAATAGTTGCCAACTCTTCTATCTTCAGTTCATGCCTCGCAAATCCCCCCAGTTACAGCAGCTGGAGAGCCCTGGCACCATGGGGAAGCATGGCAGCTCTGTGGCCTCCATCTGCCACCCAGGCCCCAGCCATGCACAGAGTGGGGGTGATAGCACAACCCCCCCTTGGCATGGGGCTGAGCTCAAAGACGAAGGGAGGAGGGGGAAAAGGGTTTGTGCTGTCTCCGGGGGCTCTAGCAACCCTCAGCCATTGCTTGCAGTTGTGTGTGATGGCAGGAAGGAGTACAGGGGTGTTCCTGGCTCCAAATCCACCATCAATGGCAGGAAAAATCCCTGGGGGGGATGAATCAGGGAGGCCTGTCCTGGGTAGGGACAGCGTGACACGCCGCAGGTTGAACCCTGAGCCACTGACCGCAGTGGGGGCTGCTGGAGGAGGAAGGGGCTGCCAGGATCGGGGCCCTCCTTGACCAGCAGGGAGATGGCAGCTTCACCTGTGACTCTTCAAGGGCTCGTGAGCCTGATCCTGCCCTCAGGGAGCTCAGTGCCCAGCAGATTTGCAAGGGAGCCTGGCCGAGCGGCTGACAAGCGGGGTCCAGGATTGATCCCACACCGCGCCCTGCTGATGGGCTTTCACAGCAGCGCTTGCCCAGCCACCCACGTGGCCCCCACTCACCTGCTTTCTCTCTCTGCCTCTCCTTACCTCATCCCAGGACATGGTAGACAGATGGACGGGCACACAGACAGCAGCCTGGGCTGTGCTATCACTAGTGGGAACTCACAGACCTGGGTGGTGGGTTTGCTAACGTGCCGGTCGTGGCAATCAAGACGGGTGGGAGTGGGGACAGGGTGACTTTGATTCTGCCCACGGTGCCTTTGGGGGCGTCACAAGATCGGCTGGTCTGGTCCTAAGCGGCCAGCGCCTGGAGAGATGCACCTGCATCTCCGCTACGTGTCCCAGACCCAGAACCCAACCCCAAAACCTCTGGCAGCTTCTAAAACCCAACCCTAGAGCTGACTTTTGCAGACAGCCTGTGTCCTGCTTCCAGCCTTTGGCCAAACCAGAAACCAGACCTGACCCAGCCCTGGACCTGGATGTGAGTTTGGTGCCTGGATCCCCCCTGGAGGTTATCATCCCAGAATCCCAGGATGCCAAAAGGCCTCTTGGGGCTATTTCCCTTCTTTCTGGAAACTGAGTAGGAGCAGGGGGAAGCTATTCGCGGGCCAGCTGTGCTTTTAGCGCCTTTCTGAAGCTTTCCAGCTTGTGCTGTCTCTGGAGGATCAAGAGCTCCAGCCTCCCCACAACACTGTCGAACCTTGCAGAGAGTCGGGATGGTTGTAAAAGGGCTCCCTGAAAGACTAGACCCACATCCTCCACAGGAAGCCCATGCCCTCAATGCCTATCTCCCAGGGGGAGTTAAATATTGAAGGATCTCGCTTCATGCTGTCTCTGTGGTTGGATCTGGCCCTGATTGTCTCAGGGTTTGTCTTCCAAGGTCCCAGCCATGAAGCCAAGAGTCTCTTGACCCAACTCCCCCCATTGTAATGTGAGTGGGGTCTGAGCTGGTGGCAGGTCAAGCCGTGCTTGGGATGCCCTTATAGCCAACGGTGCAAGGCAAGCAGACATGGGGCATGGGGTTTTGGTGCACCCCACCGAATGATGATTACCAAGAGAGGGGGAGAGCAGGTTTTGTCATTAGACGGTGACGTCTAGGATCTCCAGGGCTCTCGCATCCAGTGGTGTCACTTCTCCAAGTGCCGGCGCCAGTAGCTGGGGTGGGTGAGATGCAATGATCTGCAGAGGGCCTGGTCTTCATGCTGCCATACTGGACGCCCCCTTTTGCTCAGATGTCTGGGCATGGACCAGACGCACCAGCCCAGCCCTGCCGTCAGCCCTTGGGACTCAGCTATCACAGATTAAGGCAAGATGAAGCACAGCAGACCCTGAGTCCTGCGCTTATGCCCCCGAGGAGGCCACAGCACCTTGCAGACAGGAAACTGAGGCATAGGAGGGCAACCTACCCAGGTCCCTGCCCCCAGCTTAGGACTCGTGCTCTTCTGCATCCACTTCCCCTGCATTTGGGAGCATCCCCATTGCACAGGCAGGGGGGCACCGTGGGCCCAGGGTTGAGCCTGGCAGCAAGCAAAGCGGATGGTGACAGCTAATGCACTCCACGGTGCTTTGCATGGGGGGCAGAAACCCTGACTAGTGGGAGAAGAGAGCAGCGGACACAAGCTTTCGCCTCCAGAGCATCTGAGTGACTGGAGATGCCTTGCTGCTATTTGAGTCCAGCCTGCCCAAGTCCCTGAAAACCCATTCGTGCATCTAGTTCTGCATCTCGCCATCCTCACATCCATGACAGAGGAGCAGAGAGAAGTAAGAAGACCCTTCCCTCCCTGCCTGTTGCATGAGCTGTTTCTCAGGGACTTGAGCAAGCTGGAATAGGACCGTGCTTAGCTACTTAAGTCCACTTAGATGCCTCATAAGTGCAAAAGCATCTGATCCATGGGGTCAGCAAACCTCCAACCCTCCCAGCTCCCCCCCCTGGACCCGCAGCAAAGGACCAAGCCTCTACATCTCCCTACTGAGCCAGCAGCATCTCAGGCAGCGCGGTGCAGCGGTGAGGGCTGAACGAAGGGGGGTGCCCGGAGCCGTGTGTTTATTTCCACGGAGGGAACACGCAGACACACGCACGTACACACACGTGTCACCTGGACATTTGGTCTTTGAAATCCCACTTGCAGAACAGGAGCCCCACGAGGGGCAGACGGGGGAACACGGTGCATGGAGGCGGGGTGGGATGGGGAAACGCTTTGACACTCGGCTTTATTTAAGGGCTTGGCTTCTTGCTGGGTATCGAACTGTCTTTCTTCTCCAGCCGCGTATAAGGCTCGAAGGCGGAGCTGCCCAGTCCGTAGCCGCTAGGGAGGTCGTGGAGGGTGCCCAGAAGCGGGCCGCTGAAGCATAGCGGGGTGCCGGGGAGCCGGGGGGACGAGGCCGCGGCCAGAGACGGGACCCCCAGGCTGAAGCCGCCCGTCCCGGGGGGGCTGTTCCCACTGCTCACGCCGGGGGACGTGCTGCCCGACGTGGCCAGGCCGGCACCGTTCCCAGCCGCGGGGCCCAGGGCCGCGGCGCCGGCGGGGAGCAGGTTAGGTGCAGCTGGGACCGACAAGAGTCTGCCTTGCTCCAGCAGCCGCAGGATGTTGCAGGTGGCGAAGGACTCGGAGCTGGAGGACGAGCGCTTCTCGGAGTCCCGGCTCTGGTCCTTCTTCTGCTTGGTGCGCCGGTTCTGGAACCAGACTTTGACCTAGGCCAGGGCAGGGGGAAGAGGAGGTGCGGGTAAGGGAAGCAGGAGGGGGAGAGAGAGAAACGGGGCAGGGGGTGGGAAGAAAAGGGGCAAGAGATGCATTAGAAGGAGCCCCCCATCAGCAGGTGCATGGGCCAGCTGGTGCCTCCACCCTGCCCTGAGCCAGGACAATGCTGGGAGATGCAAGGGGATGGCAAGCAAGGTGGAAGCCAGATGCACCAGCAGAGCCGCAGCGCTCCCTTCTGCCACCAGCCACTGGCCCCACACTGGTCCTGCATGTCCCAAGTCTCTCCCAAGTGGACCCCAGGGACAGCCAGCATCTCCTGCCCTCAGCCCCTGGGTCCTGGCTGCACCCAGCTCCCCTCTGGCCTCGCTGCCTGGATCCTCATGCACCAAGACTCACTTTAGTCTGCCCTGATGAAGAAGACCTGGGAAGGGTGGTTAGATAGATAGATAGATAGATAGATAGATAGATAGATAGATAGATAGATAGATAGATGCATCAGTGAATGAGTAAACACAGGAAGTAATTGGGGATGGGTGGATAGCTTGTATACATATACCACCCAGGTATGTGGGAGAGCATATGACGATGGATGGATGGATAGATGGAAGTTATGGGGAGAGAGGGATAAGGGAAAGAAATGTATAGGTAGATATAGAAATTAGGACAATGATGGATGGATGGACGGACAGACAATCAAGCTTCATGCCTTGTTGTGTGTCTGATTCCCAGTCATCAGCTCAGACATTCAGCTGCTTCCACAGCCACCACCTGCAGCCCTCGCCTCCTCCACCGGCACAACAGAGCTGCCGTGCAGGCACAGGACCCAACCTCACCCCTTCCAGCAAGGAACTGGGGGGAATGGGCTGGACAGAGCCAGGAGCCTCCCAAGGTAGGAGCAGTGTCTACTGCAAGTCTCTCTTGGGGCAGAGCAGAGTCTGAGCACTCATGCACCAGCCAGGTGGGGTCAGGAAGGACAGCACCTGTCCACATCATGCCTGGCTCAGGTCTGCCTCTGATACCCATCACGCTGCAGCCAGCTTTGGGGAGGGAGCCCTGCACCGCCCTGACACACCAGGCCCTTGCACATTGGCGGGTGGTGCCCAGAGCTGCCACCAGCGTCTCTGGGAGAAGACTGTCCCCCTTTTAGGGGCAGGGGGACTTTCAGGGCATCAGTCCAGCACCTGCCCAGCAAAGCTGGCATCCCCAGGGACCAGGATGCCATCACAGGCTTCTCCTCCAGGCCTGGACAGCCCCCAGCACCTTGGGACCTAAACACCCTGAGGTCTCCATCTCCCTCTGCCAGATCCAGAGAAGGGTTTGGGAGTCTAACTCCTACTTGGAAGCCTCAATACCTTGTTATCTTTGTCTCTAAGTGACTTGGCCAAGGTCAACCAGGAGAGTCAGTGGCAGGGCAGGGAGTTGAACGCAGGCCCCTTAATCCACCTTATGAGCCCCCACATTCCCCAGTCTTTCCATGCAAACCTTTGGACAACAAAGCAGGGTCTTGCTAGGGCAGCTGAAAGATCCCAGGGAAACCCAGCAAATGACCCAGAGGCCACGAGCACAGCTTGGCTTGACCGCAGAGGTGCAGGGACAAATTTTCCTGCTAGCTTTGGCCCCTTGGGAGTGTTTCTTGGAGGTCCCAGTAGCTGCTCACCCTCCATCAGATTTGACCCTCCTGGGATCCATTCACACCCCTCCTGGCTCGTCTGCAGACTCTAGCAAGGGCAAGTGCAAAGCCCTGCATGTAGGAGGGAGCAATCCTATGCACCGGGGCAGGCGGGGGGTGACAGGCTGGGCAGCAGCTCAGCAGAAAAGACCCGCGGGGACAGGGGACAAGAAGCTGAACAGGAGCCAGCAGTGTGCCCTTGGTGCCAAGAAGGCTACCGGCATCCTGGGCTGCGTTGGTGGGAGTGTTGCCAGCAGATGGAGGGACGTTATACTTCCCCTCTATTCAGCACTGGGGAGGCCACATCTGGAGTCCTGTGTCCAGCTGTGGGCCCCCACTACAGAAAGGATGTGGACACGTTGGAGAATTGGCAACAAAACTGGTTGTGGGCTGGGGCACAAGACTGGTGAGGAGAGGCTGAGGGAAATGGGCTGATTGAGTCTGCAGAAGAGAAGACTGAGGGGGATTGAATAGCAGCCTTCACCTCCCTGCAGGGGGGCTGCAAAGAGGATGGAGCTGGGCTGGTCTCAGTGGGGGCAGGGAGGTGAAGGCTGCTATTCAATCCCCCTCGGTCTTCTCTTCTGCAGACTCAATCAGCCCATTTCCCTCAGCCTCCCCTCACCAGTCCTGTCCCCCAACCCCTCAACCATTTTTGTTGCCCTGCAATTTCCAGCAGCTGGTTTCGGGGGGAAGCGTGTTGTATACGCAAAAATATTTTGGTTGCACGAAGGTTTGAGTGTACAAGGCGTTGTTTGGATGTGTGTCATTGCCCCCGCACTGTTCAGGGAGACTGCCTGCAAGCTGACCGGCCCGGTGTGCCTGGAGAAGGGGAGCGGACAATGTGGGTCTTTCACTCTGAGGCTCCCCTTGGTGATTTGGCAGAGGCATGGGGCTGAGGGCAGGTAGGAGCCTTACACAGGGGGCCAGCTGGGTGGCACTAGTTGCCCCTGTGTTGGCCATCCATGTGGAGACATGATAGACTCCTCTCCAGTGCCTTGAGACACCAGCCTCTCCAGTTAGGGCCAGCACATTGGTGCGGCAGCTTGGGGTAACCACGGGCTCCCCCTGACCCTGCCTTAGTGCCCCCCCTTTCCATCAGTACCTCTGAGGTGCTGGGCACCATGGGCTGGGCTTCTCCGCACACCCGCGGCTTGACGTGGGCACACGGGGCCTTGGCTCAGCACTCAGGGAGTGAGGCTTGTCTCTAGATGAGCCTTACACCCTAAATCCTCCAGCCTCTTGCTGGGTTTCCAGGCCCAGCAGATTCCCTGCATGCTTTACACAAGGCCCCTGCCCTGGCTGCACGGGGGGCCATGAATAACCAGACCTGGCAGGTCCCCGCTGCCCCAGATATACAGCGAATACAGAGCATTGGCATAGGCATGGAGGGGACTTGGCCACCTGGAAACTAGAGGACTCGTGGGTCCCGTGGCTGCTGTCGTGCTGCATGTGCCGTGCCAGGGTCCTTTCTCCTCGGCCTGTAGCTGAGCTGTATTTACACACCGGGGCTTGCATTATAGCTGCAAAGAAGCACGTTCTTATAAGCCAGCTGCTACAAGGGCTACCTGGGGTAGGTCTGCACAACCAGTCCTGCCACGTCCGTGCATCCACGGCCTGATGGTCCCGGTCCTTATACAGCCCCCATTACCATGGTGTCTAGCAGGGATTAGGCGACTAGACCTTGGGAACCTCATTTGACCCTAATAAGATGAGCAGGAGCCAGCAGTGTGCCCTGATTGCCAAGGAGGCTAACGGCACCCTGGGCTGCATGAGTAGGAGTGGTGCCAGCACATGGTGGTCCTGCCATTAAACCTCCATGCCTAAAACACTACTATGCAGAGACACAGGCTATATTGTTGCTCCTGCTGTACCTTCCATGTAAGCATGCAGGATTTCACCGGGAATTAGGAATCATCGACATCCTAGAAAAGTGGGGCCCTCTGCAGAGTTTGCATCCAGTCCAATCCCTGCCTGAGGCAGGGTCAGCCCTGTCCAAACCAGCCCATTGCCCAACCTCTTAGCAAAACTACAGTCGCCCCTGACACAACAGCAGACATCACCCCCGAACCTGCCATAGGCAACGCAGGGGGACCAGGCGCCTAAATAGGAGTTTGGCATCTAATGTGAAGCTCAAAACAGGCTGCTCTTGGGAAATCACAGTAAGGGTGAAGAGGACAGACTTTAAAATAGTAAAGCCCGGTTTATGGTCAAGAGAGAAAAAACCAGGATGGGGGTCACTGATTAGGATAATTGCTTCCAAAAGTCCTCAGTGGTGGTGGATGATGCCACCACTGGACCCGATGACCCTGCGAGGTCCCTTCCAGCCCCTGACAGTCTATGAAGCTATGACAGAGCAAGGAGCAATGGCTCAATTTGCAACAAGGGAAGTTGTGAGGTTAGATCTTAGGAAAAACTTTAGTAAAGCACTGGACCAGGCTCCCCAGAGCGGTGGTGCAGTCTCCATCCTTGGAGGTGTTGAAGACCCGGGTAGACCAAGCCTTGGCTGGGATGATGGAGTTGAGGCTGGTCCTGCTTGGAGCAGGGGTTGCACTAGACGTGACCTCCTGAGCTCCCTTCAACCCTCCTTGTTTCTGAATCTATCATACTTAAATCCCAAGCATGCGGGGTGCTTGTGTCTCTTCAGCATTAAACCAAAGGTTCATGAGACCTGCTGTAAACTGTGCAAGGAAGACCCAGGAGAGACACCGGCAGAGAAGGACTAGGGAGTAGGTGCCGTGATTCCCTGGTTCCCCATGTGATTTTGGCTATGCCAGCGGCTACAAGTCCCAGCTCTGTGTTGGATGAGAGAAGAGCGCTTCCTTCCTAGGTTTGCTGCATTTAAATACAGGGGAAGGTCTCTTCCTTTTGTAGTTGTACAGCTTCTGGCACAGCAGAGGCCTCATCCCGGGTGCTGCATTTTGGCACTAGCACAATCCCCAGAATAAAACCAGGGATATTAGTGCAACAGCCCCAAAGGCAGGATGAGCACTGGGGCAAGGGAAGCTGGGTACGCTGAGCTCCAAGTACACGGCTTCTTGGGGCTGTGTGCATGCTACGGCCAGATCCACTGCGGGAGTCACATCTCTACGCGGACTCCGGCCACTGGACCTTGAAGCCCATGTGCCCTGGGTGAATGCTGCCAGAAAGTCAGGAACGGTGGCAGCGGACTGGTGTCTGCCCTCCTCAAACCCCAATGGGGCAGAGGTGCAAGCACACAGCCTGCGATTGCTCTTGGCAAGACCCTGAAACTACTTGCCACACAGTGGGTGTGTCTACACATGCATTTCTGCCAGCTTAAATTTACTGCACAGTAAGTGGGAATAG